GACGGAGAAAAATATTAATATTTACTTGTTTTTAGATCAAGAATAGTTTATCGACAATATTAATGTTACAAATAACATAAAGTGAGAGTCTCATTGAAAAATCATCGAATAATATTGATGAAGATTTATTAATTGATAATCCACCTGCGCAAGTATTATTATATATAAAGACTAAAAATTACATCAATCTTTTTGCTATCTATCATAAACTTTCAAAATTGATCTACATGCATTATTTTAAAATAGTTATTTCTTCTTTAGATGGCCGAAGCATCAGTACGAAAAACATCAACATCATTAATACAACAATGTTTTCCATTTGGATTTCGTGATGAAGCATTTAAATTAATTAAAATTACTTTTCCATTCGCATTGGGAAATATTCTTGCTTCTTGGCTTATCGCATTTGTTTCACTTGCGTTTGTAGGTCATGCACATGGACAAATTACATTAAATGCTTGTGCTTTAGCTTTTTCTACTTATATCCTTATTGCCAATTCTTTAATGCTTGGACTTAATTTCGGTTGTGATACTTTATTACCACAATGTTTTGGTGGAAATAAACGTAAAATGGGTTTAACTATACAACGAGCTGTTATTATAACCGGATATTCGTGTTTGATTTCTTGGACATTGATGCTGAATGCGGTAATGATCTGTTTAGACATAAAGACAAAATTTATTTTAAGAAATATTGAAAAGAATTTTCGAGTTGACATGTTAAATCATTTTAATATATACATATATATCTATTTTTTTTTCAATTTTTTTTCATTCGATAGAAATATGTATTAAGATTAGTTGAGCACGATCAACAAGTTGTTCGATTAGCTGATGCTTTTTTACGTTCATTCGTTGTTGCTGTTCCATTTGATGGATTATCAATGTTACTTCAAAAGTATATAGCATCAAATGAAAAAACATGGCCTTTATTAGTAATCAATTTGATTGGTAATGGTGTCAATGGACTTTTAAATTATCTTTTCTTATATAAATTTCATTTGGGTATACATGCGGTACCTATATCAATTACTATTTCATATGGTATAATTACACTTTGTGCATTTTTATATATTCGATTTTCATCAATTTATAATGAAACATGGTATCCAATAAATGGAGCATGTTTAAATGAATGGACTATTTATTTAAAATTATCCATGCCAGGTATCTTAATGATTATGTACGTAAAAAATTTTTTAAAGATTTTAATTGATTTAAAGTTTTATTCTATTTGTTTTTTCACAGGACAGAGTTTTGGTCAATTGAATTAAGTATATTTTTTGCTGCTCATCTTAGTATTCGTTCATTATCAGCACAAGTATGTGCTTATCAAACAGCATGGTTATTTTATTTAGTCACATCATCATTTGCTACAGCAGCTAATATACGTATTGGTCAACTTTTAGGTAGTGGAGAACCTATGAAAGCAGCTAATACGAAAAATGTTACATATGTAGTTGGTGCTATTATTATTATTATTAATATATGTTTAATTATACTTTTCCATTATTGGTTTCCATTTGCTTATGATACGCAAAGTGATGCATTAACATTAGCTCGACGTGTTCTTTTACTTGTTGCTCTTTGTCAAATATGGGACGGATATAATGTTATTAATACAGGCATTGTTAAAGCTTGGTAAAATTCTAAAACGAAGTAGTTGTATTGTTGTTCTATTTTATTTTTGATTGTAGTGGAAAACAAAAACGTGGTGCCATGATTGCATTTTTTGGTTTTTACGTATTCGGTATTCCTCTTGCAGCTTTATTAATGTTTTATGTTCGTATTGATATATATGGATTTTGGATTGGTATTATAGCTGCTGAAACAGTAACTAATACTCTTTTATTTACTTTGATACAACGTTTTAATTGGGAACGTCATGCTAAAGCAGCACTTATACGGATTGATTTTAATCCAAATAATGTTGTGCTTGTTTCTACTAATGATGAACAAACTCAAGAAATAGATTTAGATTCAAGAAACAATGTTGATAACAAGAGTACGAAGACATCAATTCGAATAAAAATTTCTGTTTTATTAGTATTAATTTTATTTTTCATAACTGGTATTATTACTTCAATATTGATACCAATGTAATTTTCGATAAAAAAAATTCCGAGAGCTAATGTTGTTCTTTTTTTTTGACATAATTTCTAATCATCGTTTCTTTTATAAACTGTATTGATAAAGTAGATATCATTTTATTATTCTGTGTGAGATATGAGTAGTACAAAATAAAAACCTATTACGAACATAACTCAAATTTGTTTCAATAAATGTCAGATCTTACATGAAGTGATTCTAAATAGAAATTTATGTATCATTATTAACATGAATTTATTTTAAAGAGGATTTTTTTGCATAGATGATCGGACTATATACACAGTTTATTGGATCATATAGTCATCTAAATAATTGTTGAACATGATGAATTTTCCACAAATACTTGTCATTGATAATCGTACGTTTACTTTATTTCTATGATTATCTAAGTAATCAAAAGAATTTTTATGACATATTCTGAATAATAAATAACTGAGACATTAACTGATATTTTGTCCATCAATCATTAGAAATCTATTTGTCATTCAAGATATTTCGATAGTAATATGTTGTTGGCAAATATTCTGATATATGTTTTCAAAATAACATACTACAAAGAAAAACACAGGCATCAATGAATTTGAAAAGTAAATTAGTTCGTACTTTGCATATGTTTAAATATTTACACTGAAAAGTTTTGTATAACACTATCAAAAAAATACACAATAACAAGAATGTTAATAGATAGAAACGCCAAGGTCATACTAAAGAATACAAAAGAAAGCAAGTATGTGATAAAAAAAACAGAGAAACATATATATATCATTTGATATAAATCTAGCCCTTTGAGAAATTGAATCATTTCTTGTATCTACAATTTGAAAAAAAGAACAATCAATATTTTTTAATCGATGAGATCGGTCTTTGGTTTTCTTATGAAGAAAGATGTTTCGATAAAAAATCAACTAGATATTCGTTTTCTCATGTTTATAGCAAACAGACAATCATATATGGCATCTTTGTGTTTATTCACGTTTGTACAACAAGAATAAATTAGAATATATCTAGCAGAATATTCAATAGAAATTCAAAGAATGCATGAAAAAAAAAACGAAAATTCAAATAGTGTACCAATAAAGCAGGTTTGGCCTTTGCTGGTCTATCTCCTTTCCTTTTCTTACCGATCGGCACTATTATTAATGCTGAGCATGGTTTTCAATATTTCAAACCGAATAACTATACTAACAACAGAAATGTGGATGTGAGTAAGCAAGAGATATTACCCACATCTACATCCTATAACACACTTTAATTTTTATACTTACCATTTAATGTAATTTACTGATTTTTTATGTAAATCAATAAATCTAATTATTATAATAAGTGATCATTCTTTTTATTGTACTTACTCACCATTTCATTTATTCTACTGATCAATTGAATGATAGTCGAGTTTTACTATGATATTGGTCATAGATAACTTGCAGCCTTTTTTTATTAGATTCTATGCAGTGCCATAATTAATATATTCCACATCATAAGTTTACAGACTATGCCAGATGTAACTGATGGTAATTTCCACTTTGTTTTTTTCCTCAGAATAACTGCAAGATAATATTATGACATGTTTAAATTGTCAGTTTCTCTAGAGTTTGTGGCCAGAAGGGAGACTGACTCAGACGTACAGAATCTATCTGTATGCGCCAACGCATATTGAGAAGAATCTTTCAAGTTTGAGGAAAATTTGGAATATGATTGAATGTTGAAGAATGATTTCACTTGAAAACTCGAATAAAATGTTTGTCTTGTAGCAATCAGAATATAAGTTGCCTACATAGCTTTTGTAATTTACATATTGATAAGAAAGGAATTGAAGCAACTTCTTTTTTTTATGAAACCATACATTTCATTATCTTCTCAAATGAAAAAAGAAATCTATTGATGCATGATTAAGAAAAGATTAGTTTTTTATATGAATTTTTTGTATAAGTAAAAATCATAGTAAAAAGTAAAATCCAGTTTTTCCTTTTTTTCGAACAGTAGAGCATTTTTTTGGTTTTAATGGCAGATTCTGTATCTTGGAGCTGAGTTCTTCTCACACTTTCTGTAGAACTGTTGTTAGCAACAGCTTTTAAAATTTTCCGGCAAGAGGTCTCAATCTCCCTTTAGAACATCATCACTAATTTGAATAGAAAAAAATGGAAAGAAAAAAACAATTATAAATAAATAAAATGCATCATATTTAAAACTACCGATGACTTATCTCATTGTGATCATTATAATTATAATAAATAGTATTAAACTATTCTCTCAAGATTGAGATAAAAATTCAAAAGATAAACTTGGTTATAATATTATGAAGAAATATGTATTATTAAAGATTCATTTTTTTTTATCAAGCATTATCCGAAAATAATCTCGTGTTTTTTATTTGATATTTTACCATAAAATGGATTGTAAATTGTACTTGGTTCACACTGATTGAGATATTGAATAATAAATGATTTCTAGCAATATTTGAACTATTGACAAAAACAAATCAATAAAAGCTGAGTCGCAATCATAAAAAGAAGAAAAAAAATGCGGAAATAACCGCTGAGGATTGATCGATATTTTTTTGCATTATGTTTTATTATCTTATTATGCATCTTTCAATTGATTTTGTTTGTTCTGGAATATTAATTCATTTACGCTTTTCTTTTTGTTTCTATTTTATCTCTGTTAGTGAAGTAGTTCCATTCTTTCAGATCATATTAGATTAATACAACTAGATTATTTGTCGTATTCAAAAGTAAATGCGTCATTTTTCTCCCTCATATAATTTAGTAAATACTAATTCGGTTATTGAATAAATTATTCAATAATCTATATGTATTATTATACTTTGTAATAGTTAAAAGAATATATTTTATCGTCGGTTTTAAATATAGATATTTTTTGTTGTTATTATAATGCCTACGAAAATTAAAACTATGAATTGTCCGCTTATTCCATCAGCTCGTTTTTCTTTGGCTTTATTTATTTTTTTCGGCTGTGTTGTTCAATATACACAACGTATTAATTTATCAATTGGTATTGTTTGTATGATTAATAAGACATTTATTAATACTGAACTTGAATCAATACCATATTTAACTCGCATTGATAATCCAATAATAAAAACTCCATCAAAAAATACGATTCTATTTTTTCAAGATAAACGATTTTCATGGACTGAATTTGAACAACAGATAATACTTGGTGCTTATTGGATTGGATATATAATAACACTTATACCAGGTAATTAAAACTCAAATAGACAATAATTTAAAGCTTTTCATTTTTGCTTTTTTTTAAAAGGTGGTTGGTTATCGATAAATATAGGAGCGAAACGAATATATGTTTATTGTCTATCGATAAGTTCCATTGCGACATTAGCACTATCAATTATTTACCTTCTCGAAACTATACATTTTGCTTTCATATTTATTTTACGAATTATAATTGGTTTCGCACATGGTGCTCTTATACCTGCAACATATTCGTTATGGTCAGTATGGGCTGCACCTCAAGAACGTTGTACTTTAACATCATTAGGTTTTTCTGGTATTAATTTTGGTACTGGTTAGTATATGAAATTAAATTACAGATTTGTCAATAATTGATTTTCTATTCTGTTATAGCTATTATAATGTTAATTGGAGGTTTCTTTTGTCGTTATATTGATTCAGGTTGGATATATTTATTTATTTTATCTAGTTTACTTGGTTTTATATGGATTCCATGGTGGATAATATATGTTGCTGATACACCAGAACTTCACAAAACTATAAGTGAAAAAGAACGAAATTTTCTTCATCATTTTAATGGTAAATTCATGCACGGTAAACAACGACATGTCATATCGTTCATTTCTTTACCTTGGAAGAATATTATTCGATCAAAACCGATCATTGCTTTATTTATTACTCAATTATGTAATCTCTTTGGTGTTTTCTTTTTTTCAAACACTTTTGGTAAACTACTTCAAGATATTCATCATATTTCGACATTATATATTGGATATATATTATGTACTGGATTTCTATTAATGCAACTATCAGGTTTAACGACTGGTATAATTGATAAAGAAAAAAAAAAGTGATATTCATTGATTTTTATTTGATTTTAATAATAGGTATTGTTGCTGATTATCTCGTTCGAAAAAATTTGATATCATTAACAAATGTTCGAAAATTATTTAATTCACTTACGTCATTTAGTTCTGCTTTCTGCATTATAATATTATGTTTTTGTGATGAATCACGAAAGATATTAGGTGCTATTACTGTACTTATTTATCTTTTTGGTTCAGGTTAGTTTATTTTCGTATACAGATAATTTCAATTACTAGATTAAAAAAAAAACAATTATTTTTTTTTTTATGAATAAATAGGTTTTGCTCTTGGTTCTGGTTTTCTTGTTAATTTTACTGATATTGTTCCGGCTTATTCAGGACTTATTTTTGGCATAGCGAATACATTTGCTTCGTTAAGTGGTTTTATAGGTAATATTATGGCAAGTATGGTAATCAAACAGCCAGTACTCAATGATTGGCGAAAATTGTTTATTCTATTTATTATCACTTATATTATCGGAGGCATTGTATTTTTATTATATGGTTCAGCAGAACCGTTACAATGGGCTAGATTTCCGCAACAGAATGAACCAAACAATGATGATGATGATGAACAATCTACATTCACGGAGAAATCACAGCCAATTGAACAATCGACGATAATAGAGAAAATTTAACAGAATATTATGACTCTCGTTGAAAAAAAAACGAACATGAACACTTGTATAAAAGTTTTTATTTCGTTTACTTCTTTGAGCATTGTTTTTTCTTTTTTCATTTGCTATACATTTCAAAGAGACTAGCATGAATAAAATGTTATATATTGATCATACATGTCGGTTTGAACATAAAGTTTTGCAAATTTCATTTCTATTGAACTATAATATAAGCAATTTTGAAAATTCAACTGTACGGTGACAAACAAAAAAAAAAGAAAAGATAAACAATATTGCTCATAAATGATGGTGAGATATTTTGATTAGATTTATCTAGTTAGAGCTTCTGCACTTGATGTTATGGAAATAAAACAAGAAAGTTTTTCTATTTTCGATTTATTACTACTTGAAGAAATCTTTTTATTATAAATGTATCCTGCAGTTTAATGCACCCAATTTAAATCCACGATGTACAATCATATCGTATTTTTAATGCATGCTAAAAGATAAAAATTAAGTCTATTTGAAAATAGAAATTAATCAATTCATTTATTCATAAATGCGATGTTAAATTATGTGTTCAGATTTGAATAAAATAATCGTTATTAAGAAGTGCTCAAGAAAACGTCAAAAAATATTTTATTGAATATATTTTACATAACACAACAATTGTTTATCTATTTAATATGAAACAATTTCAATACAATATATTATAAAAACTATAAAGAGTCAATTAATACTTCATATGCTGTGTCTGCCAATAAAAAAATATTTATTTATAATATTTTCACATCAACCATACGTGATAGCATGCTGTTGTGATAATACTGTTCTGTTTTTTTTTTAAAGACTTGAAAGTGAAATATTCTTTTTTTCATACCAAAGCATAATATATTACGTACTACGAAAAATATCTTCATTTTTTCATTATTCAAGTAAAATACACAAGTATAAATTATAAAAAAATTTTCTATGCTATTGACATTGAGAAGACTCAGCAAATTCCAATAGTTATCTTTTATCTTCTATATATTATAAACATAACACTGCTTCTTACTGTTTCATTTTTAATAGGTTAGTCATCCTTTTCACGCTTGACTGAAATCTATTCAAACAGCAAGGCTTTATTTAGGTAATCGTCAAAAGAATAAAACAGTAGAAGAAGAAGAAAAAAAAATCAGATAATATATACTTGTCCTTTGCTCTCTTTGTTTTTTTTATTCTTGTTTATTTATTGATCATTATTAAATAGTTTTCTTTTTAGTGTTATGGCTTCCGAAAAAGAATTGACGTCACCACGGTTTATTCCATCAACTCGTTTCACATTAGCTTTACTTGTTTCTTTTGCACTTTTCACTCAATATGCACAACGAGTTAGTTTAGCTATGGGTATTGTTTGTATGGTTAATAGAACAAATATAAATACAGCATTAAACATAACAACAGATTCTACTCAAATTCAAAATAAAACAACAATAACAAGAACTAAATATGGATCTCAATATCTAGAAGATAAACAATTTGTTTTGACTGAATTTCAACAACAAATTTTACTTGGTGCTCACTTTTTTGGATATCTTCTTACGTTAGCACCCGGTACATAACATAAAGCATGATTTTAGTGTTAAAAAAATGTTTCATAAAGTTCTTTTTTTTCTATACATTTAGGTGGTTGGATATCGCTTAAAATAGGTGCCAAACGGACGTTTGGTTTTGGTCTTCTATTGAGTTCGATAGCTACATTATCAATGGTTACCATTTATTATTTTCATGATATGTATTTTATTCTTGCCGTTATTTTTCGAGTCATTACAGGTCTTGGTCATGGTCCATTATTTCCGGCTACATATACTGTTTGGTCTATGTGGGCTGTTCCTTTAGAAAGAAGTACTTTGACATCAATTGGATTTTGTAGTACAAATTTAGGCACATGTATATAAACATTCTTATTTGTTTGTATTTATTATTAATAAATGTCTTTTTTTCTTTTCTCAAAAGCTGTAACAATGTTAATTGGTGGCCTCTTTTGTCGTTATGTTAGTTCAGGATGGATTTATATATTTCTTTTAACAAGTGTGTTTGGTTTCATATGGTTTCCATTATGGATGTGGTTCGTAGCTGATTCACCTCTATCTCATCGAACAATCAGCGAACAAGAACGAAACTATATATGTAAACATATTGGTATTGGTATAGATAACAATAAAAAGCGATCTACTTCATTTGCTTCTGTGCCTTGGAAAAAAGTTCTTCGTTCGAAACCTATTATTGCATTAGTCATCTCACAATTTTGTAATTTGTTTGGACTTTTCTTTTTCTATACAAATGTTGGTAAATTATTAACTGAAATTCATCGTGTTCCTGCTCAAAAAGCAGGATATGTTTTAGCTGGAGGTTTTATATTTATGCCAATAGTTAGTCTGTCAACTGGTAAAAAAAAACTAAATATATAGATAAAAATAAAAAATTGAAATTTTTTGTTTATTATATGAAAAGGTGTTGCTGCTGATCATCTTGTACGATCAAATGTGATGTCATTGACTAATGTTCGTAAATTATTTAATTCTCTTACATCATTTATTCCTGCAGCATGTATGATTGTTCTTTGTTTTTGTGATCATACACAACAATTACTTGGTATCATAACTGTATTCATATTTCTTGTTGGTTCAGGTAAATTATTAAAAAGATAAATTTTATTCATTTAAGACAAAAAAAGATTAAAACGAATTTGTTTTTCATAAATGTTTATAGCTATCGCTTATGGTTCTGGTTATGTTGTTAACTTTGGTGATATAGCTCCAGCCTATTCATCGATTATCTTTGCTGTAGCAAGTGCACTTGGAACAGTTGGTGCTCTTATTAGTAATCTTGTAGCAGGTCTTATTATAAAACAACCCATTCTTGATGATTGGCGAAAACTTCTTGTAATATTTGCAATAATTTATATTATTGGTGGTACTGTTTATCTATTATATGGATCAGCAGTACCTCGAAAATGGGCTAGATTTCAATCGGAAGAATCGAAACAAAATGAAGAAGATATGTCTTTAACAACAATACCATTGAAAACAGATGATTCACATGTCACAAAGAATAATGAAATTAGTTAATCTATAAGTTTTTCTCAGTAGGCTGTTATAAAAAAAAATCAATTTACTTTACTTTCATTTTATGTTTTCTTAGTAATTTTGAATCTGTCAAATTTCTTGATAGATATTGAATTATCATTTTCTTGTAAATTTTTTTTATTTGTGCATGTTTAGTTAGTTAATAATAAGAAATTGATTATTTTTATATGAAGAAAATATTTAGGGAAGACATACATACATAGTTACAAACAGGACTGTCGCGACCGGGGGATGCCGGGAGTGTAACACCCCCAATCCTCAAAAATTTTCACTTTTTCTTGGTAAAATCCAAAAATTGTCTTGTTTTCTGTTAGCAAAAATGATGATACATCCCCCAAATTCTCAAAATTTAACCTCTATCCCCAAAAAATTCATTACACCCGCTCCCCCTTCCCCAAATGTTGGTTGATTCTTGGCAGCCCTGGTTACAAAACCCGCAGTGGCCAGATTCTCTAAGTTTTTATTGCAAATTTCTGAATATAAGACAACTGCTATTGTTTAAAATTTGTGAGTAAGCCATGCGTGATGATGGTAATTTCGTTTAAACACTAGGATTGCTTCAGTTGTTAGAGTTCCAAAAGTTCAGAACTCCATCACATTTTATTCGAAGTTCATACTGAATGATAAAAAAATAAGAAAAACAATAATGGTTTATGTTTTGTGTTTGTTTGATAGTATCATTGTTTTTTACTTGTTCATTCCAGTTTAGTATCTGCCGACTAACATCTTTCTTTATTCATTTATTCTATTTTTTTTACTTGTAATTCCATAGAATAAATTATTATTCTGAGTGAGATATGTACAATTTAACTTGCACAGTACTTGACTAAACGTTTTATCTAATGATAATCAATAGTTTTGCTTGGACATTACAATCACTTTTTATAAATGCTTAGATTAAGTCAAAGTCATTGCATATTTATGCATGATTTTCTTTTTCAGCCAAAGGATTTAATGTAGATCTTTTTCTACAGTGAAAACATTCATATAAATGCGAAGCACGAAATGAAACTGTCATTTTTGTTTGATCTAAATCAATGTCAAATTTTATCAGCATTTTTGTAAAAGAAAAATCAATTTATTACACTACTTTCTGTAAATTCTACAGTTAAAACTTCATCTATTCATGGCACATTATGATTCATAGATATGAAGTAAAAGGAACTAACGGTCGCAAGTATAAAGGTATAGAAAAAACTTCAAATCATTTGTGTTTCCCATGAGCTCATATCTTTATTACGTTTATTCGACCATTAAAATCTTATTAATATTTTTGTAGTTTTAACAGAAATCTTGTATACTGATAAGACAGCTTCATTGCTATGACTCATATCCTATCAAGGCGTTTTAGTTTTTTTAACTTGTTACTTTTGAGCTTTTTTATACAATATGCACAATAAATTAATTTATATCTGGATGTTGTTTCTCTGGTTAACAAGAATAATATTAATATAATATCAAACACATTCTCATATGCTGCTCAAATCAATAATATGTCAAGAACAATATCAACTAATTATGGATCTCAAATTCTGAACTTTTGGCCGATTAATTTCCAGCTACATATACTTATTTCTTTTGACATATTTTTTTCGTTTCATATGGCTTACATTATATATATGATTAGTAGATGATACACCTTAGTCTCATGAAAAAATAAATAATCTTAAAGTATTAATATGAGTACAAATGACAAAAAGAGAGGAGACCTAATGCACTTGCTGCTTTGCCTCGGAAAAAGATTCTTCGTTCTATACCTGTTATTCCATTAGTTATTTCAATCTATTGAGAGTTTTCTTTGTTTTATACAAATGTTGGTAAACTATTAACTGGGATTCATCGTGTTCCTGTTTCGCAAGTAGCACACATTTTAGTTGGAGGATTTATATATATGCCAAAAGTTAGTCTTTCAACTGATAAAATAAAGTTTTCTATTTGGTTTGAAATCTTGTTGTTGTCAATTGCCCTGTTTGAGCAAATATTATTTCGTTCTCTTGCACTATTTGTGTCTGCAACATGTATGATTGTTGTTTGTTTTTATAATCGAATTCGACCAATACTTAGTATTATATAACTATACTTATTTTTCTTGCTTCTTATAGATAAGTCAAAGGCTTACTCTTCATGGTTAGTAATAATAAAATAAGTTATTGAAGTTGTTCCAATGAAGTTTAAACGAGCAAGAATTGTATATTTTGAATGATATCATCAAAATGCTACATTGAGTAAATATGTCGTTGAACAGTACAAAAAGATAAGAAAACACCTAAAAAAAGATTGAAAATATATAATATTCGAAGTGTATATTGTCAATTCTAGACTATAACATTTTGGTTGAATTCTAAAATACAAAAAAAAAACTTCGGAGACTGTCGAATAACTAAATTACGCCTATGATGCTGAGATTCGGTAGAAAATAAAAAGAAGCTAGCTAAGAAATCTTAACATCGTACTACTGCTTTCATGATTTGAAAAACTTTAAGTTTTCTGGTCTAATAGAAATTTGTCATAAACCATGCACCTTAAACATATCAGTTGAATGATGATCTCATGTACTGTATAACATCATTGTCAAAGTTATCTCAGTTTCAAAATTAACTTGAACACTATCACATATCATTAGATATACCCTCATATGACAGGAAATCAAATTGACTATTTTTAGAAAGTTTCAAATTATTACTATTATTATTATCGAAATAAATATTTCCAGAAGTAAATACATATTCTGATAGAGCTTGAAATTCTCTATCATCCTATATATTTCTGTCTTGCCTTGCATTTACTTACTAAAGGATAACTCGAATATTATAGAGACACCCTCCTTGATAAACTATAAAAGACTGCATTTTTTACTATCTCTTTCGTTTTTATTTTCAGAAGTCTAGGATGATAGAGAATTTCAAGTGCTATCAGAATATATAATTAGTTGGCGAAAAAGTTGTTTCTATATTGGTAATGAACCTAAAATAAACGTGAAAGAGATAGAAAAAATTCAATTTTTATAGTTTATCAAGGAGGGTGCCTCTATAATATTCGAGTTATCCTTTAGTAAGTAAACGCAAGGCAAGACAGAAATATATAGGATGATAGAGAATTTCAAGCTATATCAGAATATGTATTTACTTCTGGAAATATTTATTTCGATAATAATAATAATAATAATAATAATTTGAAAGTTTCTAAAAGTAGTCAATTTGATTTCCTGCCAACTGAGGGTACATCTAATGTATTCAACTTTTGTTTACAACAAACACAAGTAGAATAAAAGACAACTATACCGGGTGGTAGAGAAATTCAAGCTCTATCAGAATATAAAGGATGTTTCATAAATAACGGCCCCATTTTTATAGAGTAAGACTCTATAAAAATGGGGCCGTTACATATGAAACACCCTTTATATGCATCATCCTTCCAATGCGTGGAAGGAATTTTCTAATTAATCATTAATGCTAGATTGAGTTTTTTAGACTTCTGAAGTTTTGATGATCCCAACAATAAAAACAAATAAAAAAATTCTTTCCTTCATTCGAACTTGTAAGGAGTTCTCTTTCAAATGATAATAGCCCGAGCTTTGCGGCTTGGTCTCTGAAAATCTTCTGAGTGGTAACATATAGAAACATGGAATATCTTTGATTAATGTATTTCTAAGCCAAAAACTTATGCAAATGTTCATCAATATTTCATATACCATGCCGAAGTTAGATTTTTTCAGAGGAGTTTAATCAAAACGACTTCGATACGATATATATATATGAATGTATTCTGGCGACGGTTCATGGCTCTCATCGTATTACCATTTGATTCATTTATGGTTGTTGGTGTAACATGTATAAATGCAAAATTTGATGCTTTTATTTATAATGTTATAGCTGATTTTATTATATAACTATCAATCCTTGAAAATCAATGAAAGTTTCTTACAATCTTTTATATTCATCACTAATTTAGCCTATGTTAGTAGTAACAAGACTATGGGCTGCATTTACACTCAATGAATTCTAGATGCCGCAAGTTTACAAACACAATAAAATGCTCTATATATGAGGCATTCATAATAAATCAATGGTTAATAATACATCCATTGTTCCCTATATCCAATATTTACCTCTTCGTTGTGATGTTACTAATAATGTCTCATAATTCCTTTTTCTTTTTTTCTTCTTTTTCTGATCTATAGATTTAATTTTATTCCAATATCCAAAAAAAAGAAATGGCTTCAGGAGATATTCAATCAGATGAAAGTCTTTATCCAATCGCTGTTTTAATTGATGAACTTCGTAATGAAGATGTTCAAGTAAATAATATTTATTCTTTTAAGATGAAATTTGTCTATGTATATATGCATATTTTTAGTTACGTCTAAATAGCATAAAAAAATTATCTACTATTGCATTGGCACTTGGTGTTGAAAGAACACGATCTGAACTTATTCCATTTTTGACTGGTTTGTTTGTCTTTTTTTTCAATAATAAATAAACGAATATATTATCTATATATTCTTCATTTTTCCAGATACAATTTATGATGAGGATGAAGTTCTATTAGCATTAGCTGAACAATTAGGTACATTTACACAACTTGTTGGTGGTGAAAGTTATGTCCATGTTTTATTGGTATATAAAATTTGAGAAGAAAGAAATTTTTTTTTTGTTTAAATAGTTTTATTTTAAATTTTCTTTAGCCACCATTAGAAAGTTTAGCACAAGTTGAAGAAACAATTGTACGTGATAAAGCTGTTGAATCACTTCGTATATTAGCACCACAACATTCAACAACAGATTTAGAAACATATTTTGTACCAACTGTTAAACGTTTAGCACAAGGTGATTGGTTTACATCACGTACATCAGCATCAGGTCTTATATCTGTTTGTTATTCACGGGTTTCAAATCATGTTAAAAGCGAATTACGACAGTAAACGTTTATTTTTTTGTTTTTTTGAAATTCAATATAAAAATTTTCTCTTTTAAAGATTATTTAAAAGTCTTTGTCAAGATGATACACCAATGGTACGTCGTGCAGCAGCATCAAAATTAGGTGAATTTGCTAAAGTTGTTGAACCAGAATATTTACGTCAAGAACTTGTTATATTATTTACTAATTTGGCAAATGATGAACAAGATAGTGTACGTTTGTTAGCTGTTGAAGCTGGTATATCAATGGCAGGTCTATTTCGACATGAAGATCTTGAACAACAAATGATGCAAACATTACGTTCTGCTACAGAAGATAAATCATGGCGTGTACGATATGTTGTTGCTGATAAACTTGTTGAAGTAAAGAAAAAAAAAAAAAACTTTATTATCATTATTATTTATTCTTCATGGAATAAAACTAAAAATAAAATAAATGAATTGATCTTTAATATTTAGTTACAAAAAGCAGTTGGTCCACAAATAACAAAAGATGATTTAGTTACAGCTTATTGTTCATTATTAAAAGATCCTGAAGCTGAAGTACGTGCTGCAGCTGCATCGAAATTAAAAGATTTTTCTACACATTTACCTGTCGATACACGTGAACAAATAATTATGTCACAAATTTTACCATGTGTTAAAGATATGGTTGGTGATATGAATCAACATGTTAAATCAGCTTTAGCTTCAGTTATAATGGGTCTTTCACCATTACTTGGCAAGGATAAGTATGTTTGAATATTTTTAATTATTATCAATGATAAAAAGAAAATAAATATTCGTTTTGTTTAGTACACTTGAACATCTTTTACCATTATTTCTTAGTCAACTTAAAGATGATTATCCAGAAGTTAGACTTAATATTATTTCCAATCTTGATTGTATAAATGAAGTATGTAGATTTTCTCTATTTATGAAATAATTCGAAATTTGAGAAGAATTTGTCTTCTAATTCAACATGCAAAACTAATTATAAAAACTTAATTTAAATTTAGTTTTTATAAATAGTTTTGCTCAAGTTTTGAATAAGTTGTACTTTACAAAAAAGAAAAACAATCTTCGATTGAATTAATTAGGTTATTGGAGTTCGTCAATTATCACAAAGTCTTCTACCAGCTATCGTTGAATTAGCAAGTGATGCTAAATGGCGTGTACGTCTTGGTATTATTGAATATATGCCATTATTAGCTGGTCAACTTGTATGTTATTTTTATTTAAATCTTTTTTCTAATTATATATTAAGAAATTCTTTTCTAGGGTCCAGAATTTTTCGATGAAAAATTAAGTAGTCTTTGTATGAGTTGGCTTACAGATCATGTCTTTGCAATACGTGAAGCAGCTACAAATAATTTAAAAAAATTAGTTGAAAAATTTGGTCGAGATTGGGCACAAGGTACAGTTATACCAAAAGTTATACAATTAGCACGTGATCAAAATTATTTATATCGAATGACATGTTTATTTGCTATTAATGTATAAACATTAAAAATAAAAGAAATATTTTTATTTTTATTTTTAATTTAATTTAGGCTTTGGCTGAACCATGTGGTCAAGATATAACACAACGAATGATGTTACCAACAATACTAACACTTGCCAGTGATACTGTTGCTAATGTTCGATTTAATGTTGCTAAAACATTACAACGTATTTATCCAATACTTGATCAAAGGTAATTATTGATAAAAACCATAATTTTACATTCTATTTTCTTTTTATAATATAAAATCATTGGTTTTCATTCTAATTGAAAGTCATCCATTCTCTATCGTTAAAGTTTTGTCCAGAAGAAAGACCATAACAGAAGTTACAGATTTCTATCTTCTGTCAATAAAAAATTACTTAACACAATGATTGCGAAATGTTTTTGACTAATAGTTAGTTCTAAAAAGAACTTTAATCATAATACACATATTAGTTTATGTGTTTATATCAAAGACAAAATAACTCTAGAAAAAACATTTATCATATTACTCACTGCGAATGATTTATTGTGTCATAAAAAATGCTGTTCTCGTATCTGTATAATCCAAAGTTTTTCCAAATAAATCTTTCAGAAAATAGATTATACACGTAGTAATACATATCAGCATAAGATTAATCACTCTATTTAAATAGGTAAAAGAAAACATATATAGATTTTTTGACACATGATCTAATAGGAGTGTTGAAGTATATATTGGATAGAACTTTGCACCTCCCACAAACGATGACAGACTAATAGACGTTGTTGATATACGATCTGTAATCTTATATTAGTAACGTCTATTTATAATATATGACTGACTTCGTTATAGCATTTGTGGAAGATTAAGTAAAAGTAGAGTAAAGAAAAATGTCAGAAAAAAATATTGAATAAAACAATCTTCCTGTGATTAGCAACCATAGTTAGATCGTATTACACTTTTTAATCCCTCAGGATTATGCTAACAGCTTTTTTTATACTATTCGAAGAAACTAAATCGTGTTCGAAAATCATCTCGATCCAATGCTTTATTATTCTTCATACAGAGGTTCTATAAATGGATCGCAAAAGACATAACAAAGAATTCATAGTTAATACTTTTTTTTATTTTTTAGTGCATTAGCTTTACAAGTTAAACCCTGTTTGGAAAAATTAAGTCAAGATTCTGATCATGATGTTCAACATTTTGCCAATGAAGCTCTTGAAAGTATGTTAATATAATCATGATGTTTTCTTTTTGTCTAAAACTGATTTTCTGTCCTCTGTATTCTTCTAAGAAATATCACCTATTCGTAGCAGTTATCGTTAACAGAAAGAAAAAAAAAAAGAATTAAAAGATTCTCTAAATGATAATTTATATAAAAATAAAACAAAAGAGTAAACTAAACAATGTTTCTACTTAAATGCTTTTGTTCGTCTTGATATTAATAATGAATATAATCTTGCTTATTCTTATTCATTTTTGTCTAGAAGTTATTGAAGCTTTATGAAATAAAAATTTCGTTATATCTTGGTTTGTTAGTTTCTTTTTTTTTTGTTTTTTTTTATGTGTGTGTGTGTGTGTGCAAAATTTTGTCTAGTTATTTTTATTTTGAGTGTGTATCTTTCATTTTTGTTTCTTGAATTATTATAGAAATATTAGAACCACCTTTTTCTTCTAATAATCATGAAAATGAACATAATGAAGATGTCACACGGGTGCTGGTTTGTCTTTGATTTTTTTTTGCTCATTTAGGGGTGTTGAGATTACTAACTTGATTTTAATATTTCATTATTCTCTAATAATAATGTAATTTATTAAATTTTATTTTTTGTTTAGCTTTGACCAAGGTTTAATTGATCAAATATCGGGACATATTCTTGTTCTTATTTTTTCTTTTTTGTAATTCACGTTTTTTTTTTGGTCTTCTCTTTTTTTTTTGCCCACAATGTTGTCATGTTCACATATTCTTTTTTTTGGCGTTATTCATCCTTTCTATGGGTTTTCTGTAAGAAAACTTTCATTTTGACTTTAATTTTTTTTTCGCTCAATTTTTTCCTTTTCATGACACAAGAGAAAGCTTAATAAAATACTGTACTGTTTTTTTTCTGGTCTGATTACACAACACGTAAATTATAGAATGAATGCAAACAAAGAAAAAATAAACTTTTAATATTGATTTCTTATTGGAAAGATAATTTTTCTCATGAAAGATAAATAATTACAAAAAAAAGAAATATGTTCTGTTATTCTTTCTATTTCTTCAGATGTCATCGAATTCTGTTGCATTAGATGAATTATCTGAATTTCTCGATCCACAAGGACGTCTTGATATTAAATCACTAGCACTTCAGACATTACTATCATTAAGTGCATCTAAAGAAGGCCGTCATTTATTGTTATCACTACCTAATACTGACCCTACTAAATCATTATTAACACGTGTTTGTCGTCTGATATTTGAAGATGTTCAAGAATCAGTTCGCTTTGATGCACTTCTTTTATTGATTAATTTAACAAGTGATAATGAATTATCAATACTTAATAATAAACAAATGTCCATTACGAATGATTTTTGGTTACAATTATTAAAAGTAGGAATTCAACAAAAAAAAAAATGATTAGTTATAAACATATGGTTGAAGCAAAAAAAAAGTTTAGAAACGAAGTATTTTTTGATTGTCTTCCGTAATGGTAACAGATAGAACCAATCAGAGAAAATATTTGAGTATGTGAAACAATCTTCTTTCAGAAAAGGTACTTGTCGAATTTCAATTAAGAGGTTTGGGTAGAAGGTCTCTGGAAAATCAAGACCTCTCAAAAGTGCAATTTCAATCACGGAACTTAAGTAACTTCAACAACTGAGGCAATCCGAAAAGTTCAAGAATTTGTTGAAATTTAGAGAACAGATCGGTCCTAGCGGTACAAACAAAATCGACATCTTCATGCTTTGCTTATACAAAAATTTCAAACAACTGCAATAGTGACTTGCATCCAGAAATACCACAAGATATGACAAATATACGGTACAATTTTTTTCGTGAATATTCTAATATAGACGTGGCTATGAGTGTAGAAATAATCGGAACTCACACCTTTAGAGCTACCATTACTGAATAGCTACGTGGTTCGGCACGTATCCACAAGGAACTGTGTGCAAACCTAAGTGCTACTAGCCATGGAATGACTCTAAACAAATGAGTAACGACTATTGGTCCCGAATCACTTATTCAATAGTATACCTGCTCTCATAGCTAGTATGTGTATGGGAAGCACAAGCAATTGAGCGCTAAAACTCTGCGTCATATTAAACGTTTGTCCAGAGCTACAACGAGTCATAGTTGTAAGGAAGATATTGTGCTATTGAATCTGCCGTTTGGTAGCGCTTCTTGCTGCAACTTACCTGAAAGCCATAAATATTCTTCCTTTTCAAACCTTTCCTTCAGCTCTATGAATGAAGTTGTATTCTTGAGAATTCATGACTTAAGGAACCAGATCACTGCTGTCCTAAAACTCATTTTCTGAACTTTATCAAAAACATTTTGCAAACATGTTCGTCTGATAAAGAAAAAACTTTTCAACAAAATAAGAAATCTTCAGCGAACGACCATCATTGTGCAATAGACCAAAAAAGCCGTTTTCTGTTGTTTTTATAAAAATGTGTATGAATTTGTTGTATTCTACACATTGTAGCCTTTCGTAGAATGATTGCCCTTCACTGAAGATAGGTCGTCGAAAGTCCGAGGACATCTTGTTTTATTCAGAAATGTTTTCTCTATTAGATGAATTTGTTTGCAAATGTTTTCAGTAAAAACTGGAACACTGGTTTTCTAGTGACCTTATACTCAAACCTGTCAATTTGAATTCAACAAGTACTTCTTCTGATAGGAGTGTGTTTCAACTACTCGAATCTTTTCTATGATTGATTCTAGCTGTTACCATTAAGAAAAACAAGTCAAAAATACTTCGTTTCAAAAGTGCTGTACCTTCATTTTATACTAACAAGAAAAATAATTTTATATTTAGCGTTGTATTGATGATCGTCAATATGAACATGCAGATGCTGGATGTAAACTTCTATCAAATATAACATCTCGTACAATAACAATTGATCAAATAAATGAATTAATAAATCATTTCGATAAAAATTATCCATTGTGGTTTGATAATCTTATTCAAGCATTTTCTACAATTGATTATAATGTTAAAAAAAATAATCTAGATTATTTATCAGCATTTCTTGTTAATTTAACACAATCAAAAATAATTCGACAACGTCTAAGAGATAATGGACATTTAAAACGTTTATTATGTTTTACAGATCAAAATCATTCAATTATACGACGCGGAAGTATTGCATGTATACTTAAAAATTGTTGTTTTGATCATGGTTTGTTTTATTAAAATTTTATATGATTAATTCTTAACTTGTTTTTGTTTATTCTTTTTTATTAGAAAGTCATGAACAATTAATTTATCGTATGGATGACAATGATGATTTTATATGTTCACTACTTTTACCACTAACTGGTTCAACAGCTGATGAATTAACAGAAGAAGAAAATGAACAATTACCAATTGATTTACAATATTTACCAAGTGATAAACATCGTGAAACAGATCGAGATATTCAACAAATTCTTCTTGAAACAGTTCTTCTTGTATGTTGAAATTGAAGAAAAAATTCTTTTTTTTTTTTAATATTTATTTTTCTATACATAGTTATGTGCAACAAAATCTATTCGTGAATATTTTCGTTCAAAACAAATTTATTTTATATTACGACAATATCATCAACAAGCAAATTTAGATTTTGCTTGTAATCGTACATGTGAACGAATTATTCAAATATTAATTGGTGATGAAGATTATAATGTTGAAACAGATAATCTACTTGAATTGAATATTCCTGAACATTTAAGAGAAAAATTCCATGATATTGCTCGAAAAGAAGAAGAAGAAGAAAATCGTGTCAATCAATGAATTAAATATTTCAAATATTTTCATTTGATTAAAAGAAAACATAAATATATATTCATTGATGTCATAAAAATTCCAACTGTTTATTCAAAACAAAAAGAAACAGTCTTATGTCACCATAGAAAAAAAAATAACATTCTGCCGTAAAAACTTTAGACTATTACTCAGTGTTTGTCTAGTGATAAATTATTTCTAAATAATCCGGGATGATAGTTACGGCTATGAAGCTAATGCTTTTAGAATCTATATGTGTCGTAGGTCCATCTTAGATTCGTCTACGATATATACACAGTAATTTCCAAAAGTATTCACCAAGGATTATTTGTAATTTTTTTTCAGCTGTCGTAAGTGCTAAAACGAGTCTAAATAGTGACTGGAGTAGAGAATATGATTTCCAACAAGGATGTAAGGAACTAAAAATTATTATCAAAGTCACAAAGATAGGGCTTCAAAACATTAAAATCCTCATTTCTCAATGCCTATAACGCATAAATTTAATTTTGCTTAGATTTCATTAGAGCTCATCCGCGTTTACCCCTGAAAATTTTCTTTTGACTGGATCGGGTCCGAAAAGTGTGAGTCGGATGGACTCTAGACTATAAGGAACGATAGAGTGGACCATCCTTTAGAAAATGAGACGTTGTCGAGTGCTCTGAAATACAGAAATTTGATTGAAGATCAAAAAATGGTATTTCGATAGGAAATTGGAAAAAAAAGCGATATTAGTGACTTCCATTAGATTGCTGTGTCTCAGCTAAGGCGTCGTGTGAAGAACTCGGAGACATTTCATTTTGTAGAGAATTGTTTGTTTTTATTGTTCTATGTAGTCTAAACAAGATTATGTGCACTTGTTCTAGGTGTTGAAAAACTAGTCTATCAGCTGTCTGGAGTTTCTGTTGTTAGGAACCTGATAATACTTTTATTTCCTTGTTTTTCTGTTGAAAACAACTTTCTCTATTCGAATACAACTTGTCGAGTAATTTTGGTATCTACTATGTATAATCGCTTACATTTAACATGTGTTCGAGTATGCGTGAGTAATGGTTTTAATAAGAACAAACGACAAATAAAGCATAATCTGATGTTTATCTTCCAATTCATTTGATAAGTCAGATACGGAAACATCATTCTTGTTTTTTTGTTTTGTTATGATCGATATTTTCGCATTGTTTCACCGGTTAATATATTGGCTTTGATACTTGTGTTGATAGTTTTGTATTCACTAGCAATCTGCTTTTTTCAGCAAGTTGAAACCGTTGTACAATAGAGTAAGATATGACAAGTATTAATCGAATCATTATTATTTGAGACAATATGGACAAACATAACCTATGAATGTCGTCATTAAAAATACTTTTAATCTATGTACTTTTCATAGCCATATTGAGAAAAGTTCTATGAACGATATTTTGAAACACCATAAAACCAACCTGGTTCATGATAAAATACGGTGTGCCAGAACAATTCTAACCTCTATCGATCTTACTTCAATATGACAGAGAAAATCTTATATGATAAAAATACTACTTT